GAAGAAGTTGGGCACATGCGCATGCACCTTTCAACAAAAACTCATCTTGGTGCAGCGAGTGGCGTGGCCCCGAGCTTTTCACGCGATTGCTGCAGTGGTGGTGGGCCGGCAACATTTTGAAGGTCTTCGCACGGCATTGATGCAAGCCCTGAGATTGCAGAAGCCTGGTGCCAATCCAGAGCTCCAATGTTGTCTCGAAGGTGATACGTTTGACCCTTTGGTTTTTGCTGCAGTGGAGACCTTGAGGGATGCGCGGACGCTGCAACATGCCCAGCTTACCAGTGTTGGCTTTTCCCATGCTTTGTTTGGTGACAGTATCCCTGAATTCAACACTCTGAATGAGATTCTTTGTTAACGCCTGCATAAGCTTGGTTTTGAAGTCAGAGAGAATGCAGTTGCGGTCGATGCCCTTGGTAGCTTTGATTTCCTGACATGTTCTCTGCCTGAGTTTGTCTTGCGTGCACAATGGACTTGGACTCAGGTGCTTGCATGTGTTGTCAAACATCGCAAGTCTTTTGCAGGGTTTGCCCATGTTGATTTGCCTGCCACCAGATCCGCCTACAAGAAGTTTGACCCTTACGACCAAGGAATTCTCCGGAAATTTCTCCATGGAGCCACCTTCACCAATGCACATGCCCAGCACTGGTCTGCTGAAGCTTCTTCGTGCTGCGTGTACTGTGGCCAGCCTGATTCCGTGCGTCATCGGTTATGGGAGTGTGTGGCGTCTGAGTCCTTGCGTGGTCTTATCCCTTTGGAAACTACCCAAAACCTCCAGGCACAGCCAGCGGTTTTGCTTGAACATGGTTGGATTTTGCGGTCTCCCCTTGCATCCACTTGGTTTTCTTACCTTGTTGCGTTGCCAGACCGTCCCTCCTTCATGCGTGGTGCTGTCGGTCATGGAATTTTGGACTTGTTTACTGATGGGTCTTGTCTCTGCCCTGCCGAGCCGGCCTTCCGGATGGCCAGTTCGGCTGTGGTGCAGGCTCCACCGTTCGATATGACGGACCAAAGAGCCGCTTTCATGCCAGTTGCCGCCCAGCCACTGTCGGGCTTGATCCAAACGGCGTACCGTGCGGAACTGACAGCTGTCCTGGCTGCCATCGAGTACGCATTGATTTCCCAAGCCTTTGTTCGCATCTGGACTGATTGCCAAAGTGTGCTTGATGCTTTTGCTGCATATGTTACAGATGGTCGTCCTGTTGCTCTCAATCAAAAGAATGCCGACCTTCTCTTGAAGCTTCAGGACTTAGTGGCGCAGCTGGGGTCTTCCAAAATAGCGCTCATGAAAGTGCCAGCACACAAAAAGAGGCAAGACTTTGACAGCGACCTCGATCAGTGGCTCATCGATGGCAATAATGCAGTTGATCAAGCAGCCTTGGCCGCCAACAAAACTAGACCAGGGGAGGTATGGAGCCTGTGGGATGCTTATGTTTCTCAAGTTGTCCAAAATCGCGATAATGCCATGTGGGTTCATGCGCATATGTTAGCAGTCAGCAAACTTTGGAATCAAAGCCTTCCTAGTGATGTTGCGCCGGTCCTGAAGGAGTCCCGTCCTGTCCGTCCTCGTCGTGTCCAACCTGAGCTGGTTTGGGAAGACCCTCATTCCCTTACCTTGAAGCATCCGACGTTCCGGCGTTTTTTCGGAGCGGCATTGGCACCCGATGTACAGAGCTGGATTCAGCACATCCGTGATCCCGAGCAGCCGATTCGTTTAGTGTCGTTCTTGCAGTTGTATATTAGCTTTCAAAGGCATCGAGGGCCTTGGATGATCCTGAAAGACCAGGGTCGCTGGGTTGCCGAAAAGGGTACCCTGGCCATGCTGGCGAACCATGTGCATCTCAACCTGAGGGTGAAGTTTTTCCGCCTGATGTTTCAACAGTTTCTCCGTGACGCCGAAGTGCGTTTCAGCACGTGCACTGGGAGACCGTACAGCCAATGGATAGCTTGCTTCAGGGGTTCGATTGGGTTCAACTTAGCCCAACAGGAGTATGAGGCTATCGAAAGTGTCTTGGCTGAAGGTCTCTCAGCGCCAGCTACGGGGTCAGGTGGTGCTCTTTCAAATTTGAGAGGAGTCTGAGCCGCATATGATCGGCCGCAGTTGCGTGACCCAGCTCGGCAGCGTGGCGCTCAGAGGAAAAGCATTTTTTATTTTCCATTTCATATATGGGATGTCATCCTTCCCATTGACAAACTCATATTTTTCAAGATGGTTAAAACCACCAGCTGTAATATGACTTGAAGAAATGAAGATCAACCACCATCAACCCCTGGGGGGTGACCTTTTGAGAAGGTTTAAACTCGCAGTTGTTGCACGCCATGGCTCATGGTTGCTACAAGGTGTTCCCGGATGGAAATGTTTGGTTTATGCTGCCACATCCACCTTTCAACATCTTTGAGCTATTTTATCGCCAAAAACCCAACACTTAATCTGCGGTTATATCATTATTTTGCTTCGTCAAATCACCAGTTCTGATGCTTAACTACTTCACCCTCCATTTTTTCAGCCATGGAAGATGTGGCACCAGCGTTCCAGGCGCGTGCCGCGTTTCAGAAGACCGCGTCGGACATGGAACATGAACGGATCAACCTGATGTCTGTGATCACTCAGGCCAAAAGGGCGGATCTGCTTCTAGAAGTTTGGCGTTGTACATCCATTCACATATGTTAACAATCGTTGAACATGGTTTTTAGGATATTCAAGGTGTAATTACACTGGTTTCTTGGAGCATGGCCGAGTTAAGTATGGCCTATTCACGATTATTATAGGTTTCAGCACATGAAATGATGAACTTGGCATTAACCTTCTTTTTGGTGGATACTCGGTATTTTCCAGCAATCCAATTCAGCAACTTGCCAAGCAAATGACGTCAACAACACTTTTCAAGAGGATAATCATCAACAAACGAGGGATTTTCATGTTTTTTTTTAAACACATGTCATGTTTGTTTGTTGCAGGGTAGATCTATAAATGGAAAGGTCAGATATAAACAGTCACCAGGAAACCAATTGAGCCTTACTATTTTTACTTTCAGAACCTTATTTAGCAGATCAAAACTCGATTCCAGCTGGGTAAGGGTCATACCCCAATTTTTCCCAGGGACGGTGTGTGTGGTCAAACATGAGGCTGGATACTCCACTATGGTAGATATACGGAACACATCAATAGCTGGCGAACTTCAAATCAAGTTAACTGGGTTTACAGTGGTTTACAGTATTCTCATCCACATCCATCCAGAATCACGCAACTCCAGATATGTGTAGCTGGTTGGTGGTTTGGAACATGTTTTATTTTTCGCAATAGCTGGGATGATGATCCCAATCTGACAAATATTTTTCAAAGGGGGGTAGGTCAACCACCAATTAGGTAGTGAGGTTGCCTTGAAACAAAGGTTCTAACTGGTTGGTGGTTTCAAACATTTGTATTTTCCATAATATATGGGATCCTTCCCATTGACTAATATTTTTCAAGATGGTTAAAACCACCAACCAGCTAAGGAAAAGACATCGTACAGGCATTCCTCCAAACAAATCTCTGGATTGTAGCCATACAGCTGGGAAGATGGGCAGATGCACCAGGGATCAGAGAACAGGTGGCCAAAATCTGCAGGACATCCCTTTTTGTTGAGGAGAAACGACCAGTTTTCCTGATACTACTGTATACACATATTTGTTTACTAATTTACATACTATACTTGTATGATACTTATATATTATGTATACATGTATACACATATATCCTTTCATCTCTTGGAACCGGATGTGTGAATGGGGCAGCTTTTTGGGGTCAAGTACATGAGCCTTTCTTACCTCCTCCCCGAAGTCTTAAAGGAGCTTCGGTGGTGGGGCAGCGCTAGCGGCTGTCCGTGGGGTGCCATTGGATTGACCCTCTTTCTGTGCTGTGGGGTCAGCTGGATCTGCGGGTTTTGCTTTTCTGCCATTGTTTTCAGCCCTCATTGCCGGCGCATTTTAGCCCACATTGCTCGTTTGGTGGCTTTAAACCTCCAACCTGCTGTGGTGCCTGCTCACTCTGAGGTGCAAAGGCGTTTGGCTGAATATCATCGGGGGCAGTGATAGTGGATGAGCAATTCTGGGCCTCTTGATCCTGTTGAATCTTTGACAGTTCGATTAGGGCAGCTGGAATTGACCATCACTGTGCGCCAGGTTGATCACAACACAGGTCCTCTCCCTGCCCTCACTGTTGTACCTCCAGGTTCAAATTCAGCGGGGTACCAGGTGAGCCAGAACACTTGGAATCACTCAGCACTAGCACCATCTTATCCTCGAGGGTTGGATCAGGCTGCATTGGCATCCGATCGGCCTCGTGACCTTGCTGCTTTAGATCTGAGGTTTCTAGGAGCTTTGCCCAATCAATTGACTGGCAGTGATCAGGTGTGGACGGCAGACGCCCGTTTGGGACGAGCATTCCGTGCAGGGTGCCTTGCCAGATTGAGGCTGGACGGTGAGTATCGGGCCGAAGACAGCCCTGGCATTCCCTTCCGCAACTCCTATTACATCTGTCTGAGAGGCCGTGAGAACGCACAAGGTTTTTGGACCAACAGCTACCGTGTGTACGCAGATCGTGTGCTGGTGAATCGAGCTGGTTCAAGTGCGTTTGAGTCAACATCTATTTCTCAGGCATTTCCATCGAGAGCAGAGTGTAGTGCGTATCTGGCCGGAGCCCGTGTCACATGGCCTCCGGAGATTCAGGCAGAGCGCTAGATCAGGACAGCCTTGAAAAGCTGTCCGCCGCAGCCTCCCCAGGTAAGTTTCTCAGTCAGATCCATTTTGTGATTGAGCCGACTGAAGAGGGAGCCAATCCAGTTGTAGCAGTATGCTCCGTAGTCTACGTCAGACATGGCGGATTCATGCTGGCCATACCGAATTTAGATTTCCTGCAAGAGGCCCTCATGGGGCTCAGCCTAGGCGACGATGTTCCGGCTTTCCGCGCTGTTTCAGTCGAAGTGCTGACCAGTCGTGGCAAGTCTCTAGGAGTGACCGATATGCTTTTGGTAGATCTTCCCTGGACTGCAGCAAGCGCATTTTGCCAACCCGTGAGCTTCCGTGGTGCAAAGTTCAAAGATGCCGACCAGATCAGACCCGAAGTCAATGGGCAAGCTGGCCGCCCGTCCCGAGATCAGATCCTGGCAGCAGCCGATGCTTGGGTCGGGTCAGGCATGGACGAGGACACGGCGCAAGAGTACCTCACTGGAGAAGAAGCTCCAGATCAGCAGTTCTCCGAACCTTATGCACCGTCCGAGCCCAGACCTGCACCAGCAGATTACCAACAGCTTGTGAAAAGAGTGGCCGAGTTGGAAAGCCGTCTAACAGCCGCCCAGCAGGTCCCTGCGGCTCCTCCGCGTTCTGCAGCGAAAGCCCCGCCGTTGTTCGGAGCTCAGACCAGCCCTCTGGATGCAGACCAGTGGAACCGCATTCAGAAGTTAGCCGGCAGCCCGGCCCCTCGGGTAGGCTCAGTGGAAACTCGCAGGTCTCTGGTTCCTGCTGCAACCGACTTCCAAGATCATGCACTAGCAACTTTGGAAAAGGAAGCGGAAGAGGATGTGCTGCCAGCAGACTTGAGTCAACTTGTGGCCTCGGCGTCAGACCCTCTCTCGCAGATCCTAGCAGCTCAACTGCAGCAGAACCAGTTGTTGATGCAGCGACTGTTACCGAAACAACAAGATCCAGTCCTCGGCGCTCTGGCCGGCTCGGACAACGCAAGCGGCAGTGGCTCCAATGTCAAGGGCTGTCTGGCCCGCGAAGCTTTCCAGCGGACTATACAAGATCTGCCGCGGGTTGCAATGCTGGTCCAGATGAATGCCATGAAGGAGCTGGGCTTTGGACCCGACCGGGTGGATTCTTCACTCATGCGGCGGTATGTGGAGCGCCGGATTCCTTTGCAGGAGTTTCGCCTTCTGTCCTTGGTTGCGACAATGCTGGCCGAGAGTTGGGCGATTGGTTACGATGCTCAAGACAAGCTGCTGATGGGTTCGATTTCCAGGATGCTGCTGTTTGTCGAGCAGACAGCTCTAGATGGGGGCAAGACCCAACTGAGTTGGCTCCTTTCTGGATACCCAGAACCTGCAAGTCATCTTCTCATGTCGTCACGCAAGAAGCCGGGCCTGGAGCCTTTTGCCAGACTCTGTCCAGCTCCGTGGGTAGCGGCAAATTTGAGCTACCTTCGGGATTTGGATTACATGGAGACTCGCATGGCGGCGTTAGGGAAGCCCAATCGTTCCAAAGCTGCCCTGTCCGACGAGGAGAAAGATCCAAAACCAAAAGCAAAAGCAACTCCCAAAGCCAAGGGCCGAGGGAAGGGTGGAGGCAAGCAGACTGCAGAGCCCGCAGAGACTCCAGCCATGGGGTAACTGAAGGTCTGCAGGGAACAAAGCCTAGCAAGTTTCCTAAAGGGACTAATGCTGTTAATGATCCGTTTCCTCCTCCCCCTCCTAAAGAGAGTCCTTTTGTCGATCAGTGTCGGAATGGCCATTTTGCAGAATCGCGTTTTGATCCCATCAAGCTAATGCAAGTTTTGTGTGATGAGTTTTGGCGGTGTCCCACTGGCTTGACTTATTATGTGAAAGCTAGTCTAACTAGCTCCTCCTGTACTGTGCATGGGGCCAAACCTGGTCCCTTATGGCCTGTCCCCCCCTTCAGGTGGCGATGGACGGCATCCTTGAAACCCAATCCTAGGCGCCGAAGGCGCCGGAAGCTGCTTGAAGTGAGAAGCCGCCTAGTGAACATTTTGCTTTGCACGTTGAATTGGGAAACGCTGGGGCATCCCAACATGCCTCCTCCCAACGCCCAACTAGGGGCGCCAATCAGTGAACAACAGCACGGCATCATCGAACGTTTCGAGGCCATGCTCTCCCACTTTCTCAGCGTAGCTCCCTTTGAGGGTTCAGAGCTGGGCCGTGCAGCGGGAAAATTTCAGGGATTAATTGACACGTTGACGGAACTGCCCAAGTCAGACTTAGGGTTCGAGGACCTCTTCGATGTTCTTCATGAAATGCACAAAAGTTTTGATTCTTATGGTTCGCATTTTGCACCAAAACCGAAGCTGCCAAACCCACAGCTCGACCATGAGCTTTTGACCAGCGCTGGCACTGTTACAGTGTCGATGCCTAGTGCCAAGCCGGTCGAATCAGCCCGAGTGAAGTGGGAAAACCCACCATCCTTTGATGCGGCCGGGTATTTAGATCCACTGGTGCGTGAGGCCTTTTTAGACCCAGAAGTCCTACGTAAGCCTAGTAATACTTGGCCAAAATCTAAACCTGCAAAGATGCACATCACCAAGTCTGAAATGCTGAAGCTGATAGATAGATGGGATAAATTGGGTGCATGTACTATCATCAGAGCTGACAGTAAAGACTTCCAAGAAGCGGTTGGGGTGTTTGCGGTTGATAAAGACGTTGATTTTGATCGGCTCATCATTAACCCTAAAACCATTAATGGTAGGATGCATAGCCTGTCTCATTCCACCCGGGAATTAGCACCTGGAAGTATGCTTGGGCTACTTAGCTTGCGTCCGGGCCAAATGTTTCGGTTTAATGCTGATGACCTATCAGATTATTACTACTGCTTTAAAGTGAGTCCAGCCCGGGCCACCCGCAATGCTTTCCGCATGAAGTTCCAGTCTCATGAGCTTAGGCATCTGACATGTTTTAGCGATGAACATGAGGGTCATGAACTTCTTGTTTGTTTAGCCACCCTTGCCATGGGAGATTCATTAGCTGTGGAGATCGGCCAGCAAGCTCACACTAACGTCCTAAAAACCTGGTGCGGTTCTATGCTTAGCTCTGAATGTCTAAGATACCGTTTTCCCATTCCAAGGGGCGATTTTGTTGAACTTTTAGCTATTGATGATCATGTCGGCCTGCAAAAACTTCCCATCAAAGATTTCCCAAAAACCCCCAAACTAAGGGACACTGAAGTGTTTGCAGCTGCGAGCAGGGCGTATAAAGCTGTAGGTTTGGTCCAACACCCGAAGAAACAAAAGCGAAATCAAGTTTCTGGCATCATTCTCGGAGCAGACTTTGATGGGCTAGCTGGCAAAGTCATGGCCCCTCGATCACGTGTTGCCATTCTGAGCATGATTACTATGCAAGTTGCGTTGCACGGGTTCTGCACTCCCCGAGTGTTAGCTGTTCTTCTGGGTTGCTGGATCCATGTTCTTCTTTTTCGGCGAGTGATTTTTGCATGTATAGAGCAGCTGTTTAAAGAGGGTCAGGGGTTGGAACAAGATGCAATCTTCCGTTTGTCCCGGCAGGGTCGTTGTGAGTTGCAAGTCCTTGCCGTTCTCGGCCCAGTAGCACAGAGTGACTTGAGGGCACGCCATTCTAACAGAATATACAGCACGGATGCGAGCCCCTTCGGGGGTGCAGTGATCGCGGCAGACATAGGCCAACATGCGTCAGCAGAAATTTGGCGTCACTGTGAACAGCGTGGTTATTACACTCGCTTGCATTCCCCCGTAGCTGAAATCCTTGAAGAAAAAGGTATTACCCCTCTGTCCTCTGAATTAGTCCAACCTAATAATCCTTTACCTGAAATTTCCAGTCTAAGCATTCCACCACCCCTAAGTGAAGGTATCCTTTTTGACTGCATAGAGATTTTCAGGGGTAGCGGGAACTGGTCCGATGCCCATGCCGAGCGCGGCATGCGTGTGCATGATGGCGTGGATGTGTCTGGGCGCAGACTGCGCTATCTGGACCTTGCCAAGCCTGCCGTGTTTCACGAACTCCGAGCGCTGGCCTTGCGCCGAGTTTGCCTGGACTGGCATGCTGGAATGCCTTGCGTAAGTTTTGGGACACTTAGAAGACCCCAAGTTAGGAGTAAGTCCCAACCTGCAGGGTTCCAACCTTCTGATCCATACACAGCGTATCACAACATGTTAGCTCGCCGTACTGCCTTTCTTCTGACCATCGTGTTGTTGACAGGACACTACATCAGCATCGAGCAGCCCGGCAGCAGCCGCCTGTTCCTGCTGCACTGCTACAGGGTTTTGGTGAGCCTGGGATGCGTAATTAGCCACTTCTGCTTCTGTTCGTTTGGTAGTCCATTCCAAAAGGCTTCAAAGTGGCTTCACAACAAACCATGGGTTTTGCCGTTAGAATGCAGTTGCCAGTGTCCGCACAAAGGACAACATTTCGTGGTGCAGGGGTCTTTCACAGCTGCGAGCATTGCCGATTTCGAGCGGCGGTGCCGTCCTTCCAGTGCCGCGGTGTATGGGCACAGCCCACAAGTTGGGGAGACTGTAGCCAGTTTTTCAGCAGCCTATCCTCTTAGACTAGTTCAATCGATGGCCTCCGGCCTTTCTCAGGCCGTCCGTGGAACAGTGTCTCCAATCCCAATTTCCCATAAGTTGCGTAGTCTTGCCGAAGTTGGTTTTTCACAAGATGAGATCCCCCTTAACCGTAACACCGAATCCCCCTATCCTAATAGGCCCTGGCATGAGACTCCCGAATGGATTAGTGAACTCTGCAACTCTCTTCATTTTCGGGAGCTGTTTAGGTACAGGTTTAAGATCCCAGGTCACATAAACGTGAATGAGATGCGCACGTATAAATCCTTCATAAAGTCTTGTGCTAAGACCGAACAGGATTCTAGAGTTGTCGGCCTTTTAGATTCTCGGGTAACTATCGGTGCTGCCGCAAAGGGCAGATCTTCATCCTTAGCCCTAAGCAAAGTTTTGCAAGGAACTATGGGATATATTTTAGGCTCTGGTTTGTATCCTGGCCTTCTGCATTGCCTGTCCAAGGTGAATCGCAGTGATGGTCCCTCAAGAGACCGCGAGCTGGAGCCTCCATCCAGGGAGATGCCGAGATGGCTCGAACGGCTGATGCAGGGTGATCCTTTTGCTTTTGACAGAGTTGTGCAATCCAGCCGGATTTCCAAAAATCCAGCGCGCTGGCTTCGTTTCTTGCTGCTGCTTGCCGGGGACATTGAAGAAAATCCAGGTCCCAAGCAGTCGAGAGGCCAGCTTGATATGAGCATAGGTTTCGCAAAAACGACTGCTGATCGGATGACCAAATGTTTGTCAGCGTTCAGCCTCTGGTGCACCGACAAGCTTGAGGTTCCTTTTGAGACTGTTTCTTCAGACATGTCAGCTTTAGCCTGGTCCCTTCGGGCCTACGGTTTGTACCTTTTCGAAGCAGGACTGCCGCGTTACCTGCTAGTGTATGCCATCACTGCTTGCCAAGACCGTTTTCCAGCCTGCAAACCTTTCTTGAACGTTGCGTGGCAGGTGGACCGCAAGTGGCAACTTCATGAGCCTGGAACATGTAGGGCTGTGTTGCCACCAGTTGTGATCAGAGCCATGGCATGCTCATCCACTCTCTGGAATTGGTTTAGCTGGACTGGTATTTTACTTTTAGGCTTTGCAGCAATGCTCCACCCGAGCGAGATGATGGCGCTGACTAGAAGAGATTTAGTTTTTCCAAGCGATCTACATTATGACAATTCTGCCTTGTATGTACGGGTTAAAGACCCAAAGACTGCTCGGTTTGCCCGCAGGCAACACAGCAGAATCGATGACTTGAGCATCATCGCAATTGCTGAAGTGGTTTTTGGTCATTTGAAATTGGATGATCGCTTGTACCCAGGAACCATCAATACTTTTCGAAAACAGTGGAATGAGGTGATGCATCACCTTGGAGTGCCTTGCAAACAACAAGAGAAGGGAGCGACTCCAGGAGTCTTACGTGGGTCTGGAGCAACCTTTTTCTATTCCTGCACCGAGGACCTAGCATGGGTGGCCTGGAGAGGCCGATGGTCTCGAGTCAAGACCCTGGAGTTTTACTTGCAAGAAGTTGGTGCTCACATGCTGATTCACGAACTCCCAAGCTGGTCGCGCGCCAAGGTGTTTGATCTGTCAGATGCAGCTCCGGCTGTCCTTACTGCGAAGTTTCACTTGCAGAGCAGTATTTGATAGGTGGAAGTCACTGGTTCTCTGGGGGAAATCTGCTGCATCTTGTTTGCATTGGACTACTTCATTGACGTTGTGGCAGCCATCAACTTTGCTGTTCATCCTTGCAAGACGCAAGGCTAGTATTGCAGTGGACAGCCGGGAGCCTTTGAGCAATGCAGGTGGAAAAGAGATATCCTTTCATCTCTTGGAACCGGATGTGTGAATGGGGCAGCTTTTTGGGGCCCAGCCCCCCCACCCTGGGCTGCTTGGAAGTCACTGGTTCTCTGGGGGAAATCTGCTGCATCTTGTTTGCATTGGACTACTTCATTGACGTTGTGGCAGCCATCAACTTTGCTGTTCATCCTTGCAAGACGCAAGGCTAGTATTGCAGTGGACAGCCGGGAGCCTTTGAGCAATGCAGGTGGAAAAGAGATATATATATATATATATGCGTGTATATATATATATGTATATATATATATAGACATGAACTACATATATATATATATATATGCATACATATCCGATATATGCATACGTATCGCACAGAAACAAGTGAGTTGTTTCAGTTGTTTCTTCCCGACACATCCCGAACACATCCACGAGGTCAACCAGAACTTCGAACACTTGTCCCGCGAGATGGCGGGTGTCTCCGACATTGTGGGTCGCACCCAACAGGAGGGCCAGGGCTCCAAAAATGGGTTTAAGAAACCCTTTGGACAACTGGTTAGTTGCTGGTATCCTCTGGTTATGACTAACATAGCCATGGTATAGATGGCCCATTTGTAGATGGTTTACCTGGGTTTACCTATTAAACATGATGATTTTCCATGGCTATGTTAAATAACCAGATGGTAAATGAGAACATAGCCTTTGGGAATTCAATCATAGAGCCTGAAAATAAGGTAACTATACGTTTTAAGGGCAAGTCAGCTACTAATGTTACTATTACTAAGGGTAACTATGATTACCAAGATCCTTCACTAAACTGAAAATAAGGTATTTTTAGATCATCTGGAATCTGGAAGTAAATAGGTCGCCTCTGGTAAATTGTCACAGTTCGATCCTGATTTTATAACCTATGTTTAGTGGTTTCACTATGATTTGCTTAATAGTGGTTTCACTGAGTATTATGACTATGATAGATATTCCTGAACTATGATTTTTAGGGTCTATGATGTTTGTGAACCATTATAGATATCTATCAGAAATAGATGTTACCCTCTGGTTATTTAACAGTTCGCCATGGAAAGATCCACCATTTTTAAGTTCGGTAAACCATCAATTATTCAATGGGCCATCGAAAAACCCATGGCGAACTGTCAGTCATAACAAGAGGGTATCAGAAATAGATGTAAAAACTATGGCGGGTTCCACCCATCCTCCAAGCCCATCTGCTAGGGCCCTAAATGACGGGGGACTTATGGGACGACCCATCCTAAGCGTGCTCAAAACTGCTAGGGGCTAGGGACTTCCAATTAGGTACTGAGGTTGCCTTGAAACAAAGGTTCTAACTGGTTGGTGGTTTGGAACATTTTGCATTTTACGTTTCATATATGGGATGTCATCCTTCCCATTGACTTTCATATTTTTCAAGATGGTTAAAACCACCAACCATATATATATATATATATATAAACATAAATTACATATATATATATATATACATATTATTAGATATAGTGGAATATGATCTATTTACTAACCAGTGAACTAATCCCATGGCCCCGTCTCAGTAGTCACCCCTAAAGCTAGAAGATTCACTTATCACCTTTATTTTTGAGGCCTTTTAAAGACATCACAAGACATCCTTTTGGCTCTGATCTAATGCCTGACTGGACATCAAACCTGGAGGGCTGGACAATTCCGAAATCGATGAGCTTCCCAGGAAAACCTGCCAGGTATCGGCCCCTCCTTTGTAGGTGATTTTCTGGCAAACCCTGAATTTTATTTCTGAAAACCGAGGTTGTTTTCTTTGTTTTTGGTATGGGACACCAAGGTAGTTTACATAGTTTTCTAATTGAACGATGTACAATGTGAGGCCCCCCAGTTATAAGTTGATTTATAAGCCCCAGTAACTATAGTTATAAGTACCATAAACCATAGTTATTGGAGTTATAAACCAACTTAGCTATCTTGGGGGCCTCATAGTAGACGTCCATTTGGGTTGGTTAGATCACCAGTGATCGACTCTCCATTGCACCAGCCTGAAAGCTCGTAGGACCTGATCCATTTGCAGCAGGCGCTTGACTGGGAGAGCTGATCCAAAATGGCAGTTGGGCTTTAACGCGATATAAAATGATATGGGAAATAACCATTCTATGTAGAGATATAATTGGAAATCCTGAAGTATAATAGATAACCAGTAGAATAATTATGTTTTGGGAAAAAAGCTAGCAACATAGTGTAACACGTTGCCATGGACACATTGCAATGAAAAACATAGGCAATATAAAAGGACTTTATCTTAATTTATCTATAACTGTGTCATTTTCCTTGCTAAGTATCTACAAGTGGCGCAATTGTCCATGCCTCATCATGCTTATGTGAAATTACCAAAGGGTATTGGTCAAGTTCATTCGCGTCTAATGGATAAGCCAAGCGTGAACGACGGCTTCTTTTTATATTTTTTAGGAAACCCAGTAGTACATTGGATTGACTTAGGACATTTTGAACTTGTCGAGGACCCGTAGTCTGAGGAATGGGAAGTCCACCAGTGTATTCCATTTATGGATGATTTTCCGATCAAACATTTGGGGTTTTCGTTGCCGGAGGGTCAATTCTAGGGGCTGGAAGCTGGCCACCAAAATGATGAGAATTGAGTGAATTCTCGCACAGTGACCCCATGCAATTTGTCGAGATGGGGTGGATGCAGCGTTGTGTTCGACATCTATATATGCGACTGTAGATTGTAGTATAGGACCAGCATTGTTGAATAGCAACGTTATTTACTGTCACTTTGGTGAAAACTCGACCTCAAATTGTGAGAATTTGTCCTATCGAAGTCCATTTGCACATCTTGGATGGCAAGCAGAACACGGTGGATCTTTGGCGTCGTGGAGTAGGGCATTGTGACGGTTTTGATGACCTTCTTCAGCCGTGTCTGAAGCCAAGATGAGCAACATTCGCAAAGTGCCCAGGCCGACGGTAGGGTACCAATGAAATCCACTGCTTTGAGACATCCATCGTTTCGTAAGTTTCCTATATTAATAAACAGTTTGGGTATGCGTCCCCTATTGGTTGCCCACAGTCGAAAGATGTTATTTCCATATGGGTTAGTCTGAAAATTGGCTACAACATTCCAGCCACTGTTTAGTCAGATACTTTCCCATAATAAAATGGTACCATTTGTTCATGCTATTTTAGCTGCAAGACCCTGAGGTTTGCCCGGACTCGCAACGAGCGTCCGGGCAAGCGACGATGACGATGACTATGACTATGGCGACGACGACGACGACGACGGCGGCGGCGGTGGTGGTGGTGGTGGTGATGATGATGTTGTTGATGATGATGTTGTTGTTGTTGTTGTTGATGATGATGATGATTCTGGACGATGATGATTATGGTCGTGGTGATGGTGATGATGATGATGATGATGATGATGATGGTGATGGTGATTTTGATATTTTCTTGAAACCCTAAAGGAAACCCCAATGACTGTACGATTAACTGTTCCATGGGGCCAGGGGCCTTTGAAATCCTTTGAAACTCTAAAGGAAACCCTAATGATTGTATGGTTATATAATTGTTCCATGGGGCCGGGGGATTTTGATATCTACTTGAAACCCTAAAGGAAACCCTAATGATTGTATGGTTATATAATTGTTCCATGGGGCCGGGGGATTTTGATATCTACTTGAAACCCTAAAGGACACCCTAATGATTGTATTGTTAATTGTTCCATGGGGCCGGGGGGTTTTGATATCTGTAAGAAACCCTACTGCCTGTATGGTTAATTCCATATGTAGAAGCAACATGTTCTGGTTAACACCCAAGCAACATAATTGAACATCAAATCCTTTCCGTGGTTTGATGTCGTACAGAATTCCCTGGCATTTACATGTATTTACGCTATTCTGGCTTTGGGCAAACCTCAGGGTCGTCGTGTTTTTTATTTTGCCATAAATCCACCATGTGTAACTAACATCCCGAAAACCTGCCTCAAGGATGTGGCTGAGAGATCTGAAATCGACGTCACGACTTTTGCTCATCAACTCGACGTCACGACTTTTGCTCATCAACTCGCGCATCTGGAGGTTCGAGCCGCGATCCAATGCATCCCACCTATCTCACATGGGGGAAGGGATGGGAGTCCCACTATCAATGGGAATGACTCAGGATCCAACAGATTGGAGGTATGT